CCCAGCCCAGGCACGTCACCCGAGGGACCTGGGGAGACTAAGGTAACGGGTGGCTCTCCCCACCGTCTCCTCCGCCTTCCTTCACGCTAGGACTTGCACAACGTCTTTTGGTCCACTTTCCAAGCAGAGAGGTACGCAGAGAATCGGGGTCTGACTCCAGCCCACGATCCCACCCTGGCGGCAGCCGCGGTGCAGAGCCGCCTGCCCAGCGTCGGCGCGGGGACTGTGCCCGCCCGCGGTCCCGCAGCTCGGCGAGGACACGGGGCCCGTCCTTCCTTCCGCGCAGCGACTCTCATCCCTGCTCCGCACAGGGCGACCCGGGGCCGGGGCCAGCGGGGCCCTGGTGAAATAGTGCCGCGATCCAAGGGATATTTTTTTTATTATTATTTTATTTACTTTGGTATAGGCTGGGGTGTTCTTTTTATTTTTCCTCTTCTTAGTGTCCTGTTTTGAAAGAGCCTGTCATGACAACTCCAGAGCCCCGTGACGCAACAGGCAGGGGAAGGGGAGGGGGGGAAGGAGGGACTCTGGTCCATCCTTGCTGCATAGTCCCACGTCTCACCATCGGCCTGGCCTGGCCATGCACATACTGTTGCCTACAACTCTAGTTGCTGCGTTGATTTTGTATTTTCATTGCTGGGTTTTGTTTTCTTGCACTTACGGAGAACGCAGGGGCCATCAGGCATATGGTAAGTGAGGAGCGCAGTGTCTTATCCACACGTTTCCGTATAGCGTACGGTTCAAATACTTTTTTTGGTAGAGACTTATTTTTGTTTGGATTAAATGTTATAAAAGAACCACAACTTAAAGAGACATTTTGCCATGAGCATTTCGTTCTGGTGTATTCTCCTCCAGTAAAACAACTATCAATTGCTGCTTGATCACCACGTTTTCCTTTTTGTGTCCACAGTTAATTACAGGTAAAGACTTATTTTTTTGATTCATAATGTCCTCTTGTGTTTTCTGAGTCACTACCAAGGTGCACCACATGATGAGGGAGAGGGGCGGGAGAGAGAGGCTGCCTCATCACTGAGAGCTGTTAATTATTTCTCCTAATTACTTTGCTGAACCTGGGGTAGACTACTAACTGTAGACAATGAACAAAGCCTGAGTGATATATTAAGCACTGGTCTTGTGTTGAAAGGCCATTTCCAAACGAGCCTGAGGCAGGAGAAGGCTGGGTAGTCCAGGGATGCTTCTCCAGGGGGACCTCAGCTGTCCAGCCCCATTGTGGCACCCCATAGAGCTGGTGCCATGAGGCACCTTCACAGAAAAAGCTGTTTATTTGGAGTATCTTTAAGCAGCCACAGCCTGGGACTTCAGTATAGAGCTCACAGGGACTAGATCAACTCATTTTAAGGCTTACAAACATGCCGCTATCAGAGGAAGCATTTGCAGTTAAGCACATAAACGAAGGCAGGAGAAACCAGAGACAAGAAATGATGTGACTCAATCAAAGCAACGGGAATGTCATGAACACAAGAGCTTTAATTTTGTCACATCCAAAGATTTACCAAACCAGGAGCTGATTGAGTGGAGAATTAGAAGACGGGAGACACCCACCACCTCCAGCACGTTCAGTTCTGGGCTCTTTACCTTGACAAGGGAGCAGCCCTCGGCCACCACCCCGGCTCTGCCCAGCCCGCTCGCTCCCTGAGCCAGGCCAGGAGCCCCATACAATCCAACTTTGAGCCTCCACTGGCATTTCCAGGTCTGGTGTCCCTGCCTGAGTGCTACTCCAAGAGCTTCTCTCTCAACATCTGTTCTGTTTCAATGCTGCGTCTCCATGGTCCTGGAGCTCATCCTGCTCAGGGGAGCCTGTGCTGGGAACAGCCCACATTCCAAAAGCACAAGAGCCTGCAGCATCTTCTGCCTAACATTGCAGCTACAGCGTACACAGCCAGTGCCCCCGAAATGCAGCCACCGCCACGGAGAGGGGGGCGGCAAGCTTGTACTTTGAAAAAGGAAAAGAAAACAGGAGTGAAAGTGCAGGATGGATATTGTCACATCAAAGAGGAACAGAAAGAAACCTGGTGCACGTTTTGAGCAGTGTTTAACATCACAGAGGAAGGTCACAGGGCTTAGTTAGTCCACCACAAAATAAATGAGGGTTAAACTCGCCCTGCTGAGATTTGATCTTCGAGGGAGTGGGCTGGCACAAAACCTCCTTTTCTTTCTTGCAGTCGGTTTGTTACTGACACTTGCTCCTTTCTTTGTACTTTCTGACTGTGATATATTTAAAACCCTCATACTTTGCTGTTCGTACAAGTAATAGCACAGAACAGACTGTAACAAGATCAAGATCTCTAATGGCACTTCTGGAAGGTGAAGCAACATTCTCCTTTCCCTGCACTAGTGTTTTTCTCTAGAATATTAGATTAAGCAACAGAAAATTTACTGCTTCATAAAGCCGTATCTCAGACGAACTCTGCACCCAGCGGGTCCCCTGCAAACGCACGCTTTTATTGCGATGCAAGCAGGAACGTGCCAAGCAGCAGCACTGAATTCCTATAGAAAATAACCTCAGAAGGGCACAGCAAAGCTCGGAACAGCCCAGGAACAAAGACTGTTGAAGCTGATACACGACTGCACTAAGCCTTTTTTGGTTTGGGGATTTTCTCTTGGTTGATTGGGTGTTGGCTGGTTGGGTTTGAGGGGTTTTTTTGTTTGTTTTTAAGACAAGACATCACTGGCTTCCTAACTCAGCTCCAGAGCTGGTGCCACCTCCCTACGGACCCAGAATACCAGTAATGCTCAGTCCTGGACCTTCTTTAACCAAAGCCCAATGAATAGTTCTGTAACTTCAAGCAGAAGTAGGAAGTTGCGGTGCTAACCCTCCTGCAGCTGTGCCACAGGACATCTGGATAACCTTGATGATGGGTGGGCAACAAAACCAAACCAAAAGCCCACCCTCCACATAACATATACCATTCTTATTAGTTGTGCAGAAGCAAGACCCCTGCAAAATAGCAAGTGCAAAGGACAAACATGACATGCTTCATCTTGCAGAAGAAACCAAAGAGCCTAAAGAGGGAGTTTCAGACATCCTTGCCGTGGCTTTGCCTGCAGACAGGGCAGGACAGCTCATCTTCAAGCTCAGACACAAAGGTAGCCCTGCCTGTTGGAGGTCAGGATGACACTTTACCTGTCCAATGCTGCTAGAGAACTTGCAATCACGTAACAGAAACCACTGCAAGACCAAAAAAAACCACCTCTCTCTCACAGAACTTAAACTTGGTGTTTAAGAAAATAATTTAAAGCTTCTGAAAGCTTCAGCACTGAAGACCCATTAACTGCAGACATCTGTTAGCACATAGGTGTCTACACAAAGAGAGTAGAGCATTATTGAAATAACACAGAAAGAAACCATCACAGCAAGTACCTGCAGATCCGAAAGTTCATCTGCTTTCAGAGAGAAACATTTTTACATCGGTTAATGCTTCCAAATGGAAGAAGTTGTCCAATGAGCTTGATACTTTACTTGTGGAAAGGTTAACCAAAAGGTACTTCTCTTTCCGAGAAAAGCCACTTGCGCTCTTTCAAGAGGTTTTCATGTGCATCCTGTCGCCAGTATGCAGCTGGCATCTGATTCATTTGAAAAAGTTTTTAAATTACACTTCTGTCTGCAAAAAAAGTGACCTCTTCAAACAGTACAAGTAGAGCTTTTGATTTTTCTTGTTTACCTGCAATTCTACTCTGATTTTAACTATTTAAGGTACCGACAAATCCAAATAACCAACAGCCACAAGCAACAAAAACCTGCCCGATGTGGCAGACCCCTGCGGCCAGGCTGAGCCCACAGCCCCAGCTGCAGAGGAGCCAGGAGCAGGCTGGCTTTGTGCATGTTTGCTCACTCGCTGGATAAAATGATAAGCCTACACCCCCTGGGAGCTGGAGACAGAAGGAGGAGGGGGAAAAATTCCGTTGGCACTTCCTGGGTATGTTATTTTGTTTTATAAAGACGTGGAAGCAGACATCTCATCTACAAGAGTGATTTGTAAGGAGCCTGGTGGAGGCTGGAGTAGCAAGAGAACCAACACTTTAGTGGTAATAAAATTAATGGTCTCATCAACCAATTCTGTTCTATAATTGGCTTCCATAAAAAGTCCCAAATGTAAATAAAACAAAGTATAAAGGAGGAGCTGAGCGTTCTTGCTCAGAAATAAGAGCAGAGCTGGGTTTTGAAGAGCTCTGTATCACCATCTCAGCCCTTCTGGCAGGGAGTTGGAGGTTGGCCACTCTCACACAGAAACCAGCTAAAAATCACATGCCGATTTGAGATGCAGAGAAGAGCTTCACTGTCCTAAAGGCTCCTTTATAGTTTTGATTCTGTAGGTGTCGTAACAAGTTTCACTGCAGGGTGAAACGTGCAAGGAAAGCCTAAATCCACCCTTTTTTACCGTGTAACCACCTCTCCTGGACAGCAACAATACTGAGCTCCAAAAGCTCCATCCCGACCCCACTCTGTGCTATTTCAGGGATTAAATTAAAGAGAGGGGAAACCAAAGGGATTTCTTCGTAGCAAAGGGAGTTGTTGGTTGATACAACAGTGAAATCGGTGACAAAATTGGACAGCCACACCAGTGCACCCTGCCAGCTACAAACCAAGGTTTTCTACCTTTTCACAATACCAAATACAATGTGCTCACAAACCACCTTCGTTTCTGTTGCTGTTTGCCTGGGAGTTGGTGGCAAATTAGCCGAGGCCTTAGCAGACAGGTACATATGGCTGGAAGGTCTCACGTGTCAGCGATATTCGATGTACAAGGCTGCTTGGCTTACATTTATTTGCGCTAAAGAACAAGATATTGGGCTCCTTTCCAAGCATCTCAAAAAGACAAGAAAGGAGACCTTATATACGACTCAGGAACAGACCCCGTTGTAGCAAGAGAGTGTATTATATCATTAACATTATAAATTCCATTTACAATGCAGCAGTCATTTCATCCATCATTTATCCATGCAGACTAGAGAGCACCTCTTGCATTTTTAGGACCGCGGTTCTGCTTATCCTTCGTATTGCTACGGTCGCTGGGCTGTGAACGAAGAGCCCAGCTCCAGCTGTTGGCTGAAGGTCTCTCCCTTCTCTATGCAACAGTAAACCCCAGCATCTCACCATAGTTCAGTAACTGCAAAAAAAAAAAGTCTCAACTCTGAAATCCCTGGGGTTCCATATTATTTTCTGGAACTTACTGGGACTGGGAATGTAGTTTACCCTCAGTCAATACATTTGGTCACTACAGGTTCTTTCTCGCGCTGGCAGGAGCCTGCTCGCTGCTCCCCCAGCATCAATCAGCACAGCCGGGCTGGGGGCCAGTCCCATTTTACGGACTAGCACCAGGAAGAGGCCAAGGGCCATCCCAGCCCACACACCTTGCACAGCTCAAGTCTCCCAGCTCCTGTGCCTCCATCCCTCGGACCCAGCTGCTCATCAGTTACTGCACTCAGTGTCTCTAGGAGGGTTCTGTAAAAACTCATTGCCCCACCAGTGCTACCAGACTGGGTGGGCACAGAGAAGGGTCTGAGAGGAGAGCCTGATGCCTCCACCCCCCCAGCAGCGTGGCCCACTCACAACCAAAGGGCATCCCCAGCTCTCAGCATCCCTCAGGCCCATTCGCTACCACCACCGTCACACTGAGGAGCGAACGCCCTCCCTGCCACACCTCCTGGAGCGGGTCAATGCTCCTGCAAACTGCTGGTTTTCCTTCGAGAGGTCTACAGACACCCGTAGGTACAACTGATAAAGTCACCGTCAGCAAGCCAGCGCTCCATAGTGTAGTGCATGTGCAATGAAACATGGATAAGAAGGAAAACTTACCAGGCAAGTACCTGTTGGGACATCATCCTTATACATACGGCTCCAGTTTCTTCTCACATCACCATAATATGGAGTAATGACACAGAAAACAGTTACGTTAAACCTCAAAGGAAAAGGAATAACCAGAATTATACCCCACCTTTACTGGAGAGCCTATTTTGGGTACAAAGCATTAAAAAAGAACCCCAAACCACCAAAAACCAACTTTGAACAAAATACAGTCCATCACTTAGAAGAAATTTTCCCTTCTTACTGACATCAAAGACTAACAGTACCACAGAGGGAACTGGTTTTGCACTGAGAATACAGCTGCCAATCTTGGAAGCAGCATGGAAACCTCTGTATAAAAACCAAAATGCTGCTTCTTCCTAAGTTTTTTGGCACAAACTCCAATTAAACTGTTTTACATTAAGTTGTGTTGAGTATGTTCTTTACTGATTTTTCTGACTTTTACACTCAGCAAAAGAGAACAATCGTTGAACAACCTCCTGACTGCCACTCGTTAAAATGCCTACAGCGAGTCTACACTCACGGCTTACTAACACCGACCATCACTACTCAGCCTGTTGTAACACACAATGGAAACAGCAGAGAAGTTATGAAAATTGTACCGTTTGTTCCCCAACGCAGATTTTATTTGAATCAGTGAGATGCGTGCGTTGATTGGAATTTGCTCATCTTTCCATATTATGGGTATAAAAGAGGGGAGGGAAGTTAATTACAACTACAAACCTACTCTGAATTATATGTGAAGAGGGAAAAGTGTTCTAAGTGCAACAACCCAATGTTTTTTTATTAAAGAATACACCATTAACAATACAGACTGATAGAGCAGCAGTAAGCTACTGCTGAAAGATTGACAACATAAGTCAGGTAAATCTAGTATTAAATAAGCAAAAAAATCCGAGCCACTGACCACGCCTCAATGATTTATGGAAAAATACAGGCGTTAGAGAGTACACGGCCTATGTGCTGCATACAAAATACAGTAAAAATGAAACGTTAAAACAAAATTCTTTCCAGCACGTGGTAAGTGTAGGTGTCAGAAGAACACATTTGAAACGCAGCTTGTTTAAGAAGAAAGAAAACTAGAAGAAAAACTTTCACAGAAACATTCTTTTGACAAAATCATATTTAATGGCCAGAAAAACATTTCCTCATTCACACTGTTGCCAGTTTCACTTTATTTACATCAAGACAGTCTCGATGGCTTCCACAGCTATAGGATGCTCCAGCCATGTGCAGAATAGCAGCCTTTTTCATGTGCTGAGTAGAAACAGCAGGCAGGTCAGCACAGCCCTGCCAAGAAGAGCCAAGAGGTTCGAAAGACGACAGTATTTTTAAGTATTCCTATTAACATAAAGGGAGATAACACAGAGGGCATGGATTACGTGATGTGGGAGCGATCGAAACATCCAATTCGTGGCAGTCAGATTCCTTCGGGCAGCCTTCCATCTCACACAACATCAAGGAAGAGGCGCAACAGTTTCAGAAGAGCATGTACTGCTGACAAGAGGTGGTCAGGGTTCACTGAACCAATTAAGATGGTGACGTAACGAATAACTAAAGCGAAACGGCGCACATATTCCGACTTCACTTCCCAGGCATGTAAAGATTCTCCCCTATTATATTAAAATGCTCTGTACTACACAGCACAATGAGCCAGGCAGTCACAGACAGCAACTAAAAGCCTCCCAACACACCTACAACACAGGTGGTACCAGTAAAGCACATTTGTTCTGGGCTTGGATGCATCAAAGCTGCAAGTTTCACCAGCCATTAGTTTGGAACCACTACCTGATGTTTTGTAGGGTAAGGCACCTGTATTCCACTGGACTGGATCACACACACCTCTTTGGTTTTGTCCTTTAACCCACTGCCAACACTGATCATTGCCATGAGTGTGTCGGGACAGAAACCTACCTAAAGATTACAGCTCAATTCTGGCCAGAAATCTCCGGCAGCTCACTTGCTTAAGGAAAGGCGCTGCCCTTACACTGGTAAAGCGTAGGTCAGCCAGCAAGTGCCAGCAGGACACTGCTGTGTTTTAACAGATACACAGATTGCAACCTGGCCCGCTCCCAGTGCACCCAGCTCCCATTAACGTAGCGCGGTGCTGCGTCCCCAGGCAGACGCGTGCCAGCCCATCTCCATCCAAAACTCTCTGCACATGAAACGTTGCACTGCACTTCCTTGAGACAGACATGTACTCCAGAAAGTGATATTTCAGTGTGACCCACAGACATTCCTAGTAGAAATAATTCCATTTTTATTGTGAAATGTTATGATGAGAGGAAGTCTTTCTTAAAAATAGCTCATTTCCCCACCACATCCCATTTTTACTGGTTATATATATTCCTCATCAACATAGTGCAAAGAATCCAGTAGTAACACCAAGAATGAACTGCGTGCCCCTTTTATTTCTATAGATCTCCAAAAGCTCTTGAGAGAAACTCAAGTGTCATTACCAGTAAGCGTTAACTAGATCTTTGACTAAGATTCCAGAATGCTGTTGATTATTCCTCACATGGACTCACTGGGACCCAACAGACCTTGTAGGCTTTAATCTGCAGTTTGTGCTGCCACTGCAAGAAGAAAAGGATTCCAACTGATGAAGCAGCAGCAAGAGCAAAACTCAAGGCACATTTGTATAAACAAAAGCTCTTCTGTTTCTATAAAAACAGGCAATAAAATATACAAAATAAGTAGAATTCTCTCATCTGCCTTTGGTCTTTCCTGAGGCACTAGTGGAGCATGAGGAAGAATCACTGCTACCACGTTTTCAGCATTCACTCCTTGCTATCAAATAAATTAGACTTTACAGTGCAAAGGGCAAAAGTAGTCTGGCTGTTTTCTGGATTTGGGGGGGTGGTTGTTAATGTTTTTGGTTTGGGTTTTGTTGTGGGGTTGGTTGTGGGTTTTTTTCTTTGCTGTGGTTCTTCATAAAAAAATACATCACTAAGAAATCTGCATTTGCGCAAGGAAACAAGAAGCTATGTATTTGCCAAATTAAATCTTAAAATAATTTTGTATACTGTACAAATATACATTACATTTCAAACATTTACAACTTGAACTTCATAGATGGCAAAATTCACTGCTCTTTCAAAGCAATGCAGCTACCCAACTTCTCTTCTCAAAAGCTCAAAGCTATCAACTGTCAGGTGTAAAGTCCCCTTCACAATTAGGGACGAGATGGGAAAAAGAAGGATCTACTGATAGTAGTGGTATCAATTCCAGGTGTATTAAGTAATTTAAAATACAGTCCTTGCTAGACAGAAATCTGGGAATAGATTTTCAGTAATGAGCCAATACTAAAGTCAGTGAAAGGTCTTTCTTCGCTTGGCACTGTTTGATTCCGTGTTCTCTGGTGATTCCTCTGATATTCTCCTCATTAGAACACGACAGTCTTTGTTCCACTTACTGCTACTGCTTTGACCTCCTTCACTGCAGGCTTTTGAACTGCTTTTGGATACAGAAGCTCTCCAGTCAGCCTCGTGCCGAGCCGCATACGGCAACGTGGAAGGCACGTCGCATTGTCCCATTGTTTGCTGGGGCTTCCTAGAAGTTCCTGTTCTGGAGATCTGATCCCTGGCAGCTGAGGACACGTCAAGACCTTGCCGTGACGTTGATCCTGGACTGCTCTGGGCTGACCAACTGCTGTCTTTTGAGGCGTGCTCCTTCCCTTTTGTTTCAGTTCTACTGGCCATACTTGCCAGCCTCGGGTCCCGCGGTTTCTCTTGATCAGGAGGAAGTTTTTTTTGGGGCACTGCCTCGCCGGGAGTCTGCAGCCTGAGCCCCCTGGGGCTGCTGGGGCCCTCTGCTTCCTTGGAGCATGGCATGGCCAGTGCCAGCAGCGAGTTCCCGTGGGCTGCTGGCCTCCCTTGGATTTGCAAGCTCAACCCTCTTGCTACTGGGAGAAGAAGCCTGCAACAGAGGAGACCTCTGCATCCCTGCTTTGATTGGGGGCTGTAGTGTTGGCTTGAGCTTCAAAATCTTAACAGCATCTTTCCTGTAGCTTTTTTCTGATGTCTTGATAATGGCACCTCTTTTCTGAGCGTCCTGAATCAACTCATTCCAGTCTTTATTGTCCTTTAAAAAAAAGAAAAAAAAAAGAAGACACCCCCCCAAAAAAAGAAAACAGTTATCAGAAAGACATCAACACAAATGGACAGAGGTGTCAGAGGATGCACAACCTCTTTAATCAAGGTACCTGACACAACTGTCATGGAAACCACTGTTATGTTCCTTCTGGAATGGAAGAATCTTATGTTTCACTTGCAAAATAGCAGTAGGCACTCTGGCCGCTGTAACACAGGGAAGGTACTTTCAACCATCAGTGAGCTACTACTTAAAATGACTATTTCTGTATTTATGGAGGCCAGAAGCGTTCTCAGAGTAAAACAGAAGCTGGACTGTAATGCCCTCTAGTGCTACAGTAACACCCCACCTTGACAGAATAAAAATCAAATACTGTGAGGCATTAAGTCTATTCAAGAGCGCTCCCTGCACATTCAGTGGGCCTTTACAGTCCCCCAAATACATCGTTTTGTTTCACAAACAGCTGTTTCAAAGAGCACAAGCAAAAAGCATCCTCAGAAACCACATGACAACACAAATTAGTGTCAAAAGCAACAATCTGAAGATCAGGGGGAATGTTTTGGGGTCATTTGTTTGTTTTTTTTTTTAAATCCTTTTCTCTGCTCAAGTATCCACTGACAACAGCAATAGCTGGAAGAACGGTAAGGATCAAGCAGGAAACTATCACTGCCACCATCCTATCTTACCAGGAGAGAGAAGACTTTCCGCAGCCCCCTACTTGAATCACAAAGGACTGTGTTACAATTTAGCTACTAAAAACATTGTGAGAGTATTTCTAACTTTCTGTCTTGGAAGCAAGGGAAACCGGTGGGGGGTTTTTTACTTTTTTTTTTTTTATTATTAATAAAGCTTTTGACAGTTACAGCCAAAGCTCTCAAAGATAACACTTCAGAGGCCTGGACTGCACTAATTTAACAATACACTAGACAAGGGTCCCCTTTCATAGACTGAAGCAGTCTGAGGATGGTTTTCACTCCCCCAACCCCAACTTGACCTAAAATGGTGGATCACAGAAGATTGTTTGATTAACACTGCACCTACCATGAGGGTTTTCAGTCTTCCGAGGATGAAGAGGCTGAATCTGGCTCGAGTAATTGTAACGTTCAGGCGCTGAAGACTTGCCAGAAATCTAGGTGACAAGACAAAACTAAGCTCTTGAACTACTACTTCAATGACGTTTAAGTGTTACGAGAAAGACTCATAATAATAAATGTCAGTGAAACGAAGATAACAAGCAGTTACTAAGGCAGTGGCAGCTCATGACCCATTCCCAGATCCCACTGCAGCAGCCCTGCCTTACATGAAGGCCTTTGCATGAATTGTGTTTTATTTCACCACTCTGATTCCTTGCAAGGAATTCCAGTTCTTTCCAGCTCTTGCCGTTGATGTTTCCTTTCTTAGAGCAAATCCCCTCTTAATGCCAACCACTGCTTCCTTAAACGTTCCTCAAAGTACAGAAGACATCAACCTCACTTCACCTATCAAGACTTTAAGCTTCTTTTTGACTCGAACTGAAATAGATTAATAATATTTGGCATGATTAACAGGAAAATTTTCTACTGAAATGCTGAACACTAGACATGAATATTTTATTTTAAAGGTGACCTGCACTGGAAGCACATGAAGGAAGACTTTTGCTTTGTCACACTTCAAGAGCAAAAAGTATATTCTTGCAGAAGAAAGTTTGTATTTGTGCTATGAAAATTGTCTAGTCTGTTTTTGTGGGATCACAAACCAAGGTACTGAAATCTAAACAAACAATTGCTTAGTGTATTCTTAAAGGTTGATTTCTTCTAGGGCTTATTTACCAAAACTCAAGAAAAGGTTTATGAAATTAATATCAACTAGTTCTTCTCTAGTGAAAAAGCTCTCAAAACACACAACTTGTTCTACACTACCAAAGTTTGCAATACGAAGTGAAGCCCTTGTACAACTTAGTTTGAGCAGGTCCAACATCAATGCCCAATACTACGGTCACAGCACTGAGACCAGCTCTTCAGTAAATTCACAACCCCTGCACTAAAGACTGCAAAAGTTCCAGAGCAGCCCCAGAAAATTTGGGCAGTGCAGAAAAAAATAGAGGCAAGAAACAGCCTGGGAGAGTAGATCCCACAGCACAAATACTACAGTTCTCTAAGTTTGGGTTGCTTGTTCATTTTTTTGGGGTGGGAGGTGGATCTTGAAAGATTACTAAATATTCCTAGTAGCTTTTAAGACTGAAAGATGAGAAGATTATTTTCTCAAGAAAGGAAAAAAAAAAAAAAATCTGTCGTCATTTCCTGAACAGTGTTCTCCTCCCTTTGCAAGTTTCTTTCAGAGTAAATTTAATGCTGGACTAGCAACCTTGGAGACGAAAATACTTTGCTGAGCTACAAGATCCTAGGTAAGGGTGATGCAAGCTTTCCCATCACACCTTGCCAATGATACCTGACCATGAAACAGAGATGTCCGAGTCATCAGTATGTACAGCTTCTACAGCATTTCACTGCCAAAGCTTTAATACATAAACCTTCACCACAGTAAGCTGAAAAGTTTTCTTACAAAAGAACAGATAAAGGTTAAATCCCACGTCAGCCAAAAGAACTGGCAGGTTCTAGCTGCCTTCAGTTCCCAAACTCAATCAACTAGATTAAAAAAAAATCTCCAAAAAGCATTATTGTTGTTTACTGTAGGATTTGGATTCTTTCTCTTCACATGGATCAGCACAATTAAAAGTTATTTATCTAGCAGTTAGAAATTTCTATGAGAGAAACACAAGTAGCTTAGTGAAACCTAGTATGTGGAAACAAAGATTTTTTGTTTATGTGAAAAGACTTACCATAGTCTAACTTAAAAGCCAATGAACTATTAGAAGGAATATTTTCACCACCATTTTTTAAACTAAAGTGATTGTAAGTTACAGAAACAAATCAACAGCTGCTGTAGTGGCCTGGGGGTAAACAGCACACCCAGTATCTAGTTCCTACTCTTTCAGATAGGAAAAACTCATATAAAATTATCAAATCTGGGATCTTGAATCAAGACTTCCTGCAAATCTCCTCCTAACTCAAAAGACAAGCACATTCATCTACAAATCGAAGCTCCAGCTCATGTGCATCACACTCCTAGTGATATATATATAACTAGCTAAGAACACTTTTACAGACAGAATGCTATTATTAAGAGGACAGCGACAGCCACAGAAAACTGATTTCATTTTAAGAGAGCAGCATTCAGAAAGTTGCAATATATATCAAAAGCTACAAGAGAAAAATAACTGCTGCAGTACTAATGCAAAAAGCCAAGCTCCCAAGACCAATCCTGCCAAATGGAAACAGTGACAGGCTAAAACAGCCACGCAAATTCATCAGCATGCAACACAGAACACAACACTTGGCATTTCTGTGTCCCTTTTGTTCAGAGATCTCAAAACAGCAACGTTAATTCATGCCTTTAAGATACTCTTTAGTTTGCTGGCTGTAGTGACTTGTTCTCTAATAACTTCTTACTGGTCATATTAAAACTATGACTACGCAGCGTGTCATTGGAAATGGGACTTGCAAATCACCGCAGAGAAACGTACCCGATCGACCCTTTGGTGCTGTTTGCCCGGACGCATGTCACTATGATGCAGTCCTTCTCTCGTCCCTGGAAGGCATCCACTGTGTCCACTTCTCCTGGGCTGTTGAGGAAACAATTAGCAAGCTGTTAAATTATGTCAGCTGAATTTTTAAGCAACACACTGATGCAAACAGCCTAAGCATCATCCTTAATGATCATCTGTCAAAATAACCTAGGGTAAATTTCTGCCTCAATGTATGAAAAGATTCAGAGTATCAACCTAAAGCTAAATTTACTTCTCTGAGGCCAGCATCATTATTGAAAAGCTGTTGAGGTCCATGTAGCTTGGAATTTTAGGTTTTCCTTTAAATCAGCTTTATTCAGAACAGTGGTATAATCAAAGTATACAAGTAATAACTAAGAAATGGTACAAAGAGGCCATGCCTGTTTTAAGCAAAAGGCTTACGTGTCCCCTTTAAAGGCATGACTAAGTACAGATTTTATTAGCACAGAAAAAAGTTTGAGATTTTTTGCTATTATTTTAAGAGGATAAACAAAGGACTAACATGCAAGAGTCAAGTCCCATTTGAAAACTCATGGTTTCTTTACCTGTTATTCTTAAACGTTCTGTCCAACTGCTCTTGAATTTTCTTTTTCTGTGCACTGTAAGGGGTAATTATTCCAATGCGACGTAGACCCAGATCCTTCCTTTTCTCTTTAATTGTTCTAATTAATTCCATCACCAGCTTCACTTCCTGAGGATTACTAAAAGAGCTGAACAAGATTGAATGGAAACATTACAGAAATACATTTGACAACTCTTTCAAATTCAACACTTCAGCCCAATCTGTTGGGGGCTCGTCTTGAACTTCTGCAGCCTCCTTCACACAGGCTCAAAGAACTTTGCAAGCAGGCCCTGACGAGGGACTAACAAAAGTGCGAGCAGTGAAAGGCTGCACTTCATGTTCCCTTGGAACTACGCAGCTTTGCTTTCCTTACAGAACAGGCAGAGGGGAGGACTGAGCCTGCCACCTCCTGGCATTACCTCAGCATGCAGCTGTGAAAGGAAAGACTGATAAAAAAAAATAAATCAGGAACTCAGAAACTGTTACTAGAGTTTGCAGAGACTGTAGGTATTTCACTGGCATCTAACAGTCAGTCAAACCAGGATTACAACTAGTTTCAGATTTAAAAAAAAAAAAAAACAAAACAGAAAACAAAAACCCTCACAACAGAAAACAAGCCAACCCAAAAACGTTTAACGTCTGCTTTTTTTCAAAATTAAATCATATCAAGCCGAAAATGCAGTTCTGGCTACTTAATGAATATTGGTAACAACAGAGGAGAGAAGACAACTCTTTTGCAGGTTATTCATTCTCAGCAAATCTAAAATATGACTGAGTAGAACGCAGAACTTACTCATTGTCTCGCTCCTCACGACCATCTCCTACATCAAAAATAAGGTAGGGCTGGAACGGCCACTCTGAAGAACATCTGTTCTCTTCTGTTGCTCTGTAAATATAATTTTTATCACTAGGAAGCCACACAGAAATTCTAAGAAATGATACTTCATTTATATTTATACCACGGTTATCAAATACAAGCACCCTTCTCCTTTCCCTCTCCTACCAGAGTCCTTAATTTCCACAGCTACCTGCATATACTGAGGCCTGAAAATGATCCCTAAGCATCAAGTATGCCCAATTTTAAGTGATCTAGTTAATTTACATATCACAGCCAGCACTAACAGGAGACACATTCAAGTTTTCTTCCATTAAGCATCTTCCCTCACACACAACATTAAGGAGTTTTAGACTCAAAATATCCTGATATGAAAAGGTTTCTCTGAAACACCCCCTGCTCAGAAAGGAGAACAGAGAGCCACTCACCTGTCAGTCTTTAGAGTCCTGCCATACACGTAATTGGATGGGAAGAGGCAGATGTCAGGGTGCATCCTGTACTGCACGGTCAGCTGCACAACTGGCAGGCTCCGTAAAACATTCTTCTGCACTTGCTCCTCCAGGTGTCTGTGCAGGCGTGCCATCAAGGACTGATCGTAGCCGTATTCCTGAGCTTTCTGCCAGAGGGAAAACACCAGATTGACTTCTGGAGAATCAGGTCCCAAATAAACAACAGGAATTTGCCTTTTGGACTTAAAACTATATGGCATTTTAAACTTCTAGATCACTGACAAAATGACAACTACTTGCACTTCAATTTTCTATTTGTGTTATTATTTCAGTAGATATCACTTGCACAAATCTGAATTTTTTGTCAGTTTAGTCTTCAGCAAGACAACTTCCCTTTGCGAGTCACGACATAGTTAAATTTTAAAAACATCAACAATAGCAAAAAGCACGATCTTCCAGGTAGGATCTCGTTAAACACCACACAGCCTCCAAACAATTTACCCTTCTAGAGAAGTCAGCCTATTTTTAATCCTTTCTTTATCAGATGTTTAAAACAGTCCTCCTTACAGCTGCATACAGAAAGTGCTCCTGTATCTTCATCCACACAACACATCTGTAGGGCAAGGAAGTCACCACACAAACAGGTAGTCTTCATCCTCCTTTTCTTAAGCAATGTGACACTGACTGGAGCTCACAATGAAATAGCAGAGCCTGCTGCAACACAAGGTCCACCACAAACCACGCGCCGAGTTGTGCTCAAGTTTGTGTTGCCATAGCTATTCTTAATAGTGCATGAAATCAGTTTCAAGCTACACCAGGAAAGTCTATCCAGGTTGCACTCACACATCTGTATTAGCTTTATTCACACGTTTGAAGACAGTATTGATGTGGTCTCCACATAACAGACTAAAGTTGGCAGAGCAAAAGTTATTATCTGATGCACATCATGATCTGACATTGAAGTGTCTTTTTTCCTTTTATACATATTTTCTATAAATACTGTTATTATACTATATCCACTATATAGCATGAAAAAAAATAGAGTTTGAACACTTACTACTGATTTTACAGTAGGGGGGAGCTGTCTGGGATCTCCAACAAGGACAAGTTTATTACAGCGATGGATCAGTGGAATCAGTGTTTCAACCTCACAGGACTGCCCTGCCTTTTGTGTATGCAAACAGGACAAAAAGTGGAAGTTGTAAGCAAAGGAGTGGAGGGAAGTACATTACATTTCCTGTAACACAGCAAGAATAACTCAGAAGTGCTTTTTAAGGCTTCTTAAAAAAAAACAAAACAGAAAGGAGAGCAAGACAAAAAGAAAAATTTTTCCCTAAAAAAACCTCCAAACATATTTTTATTTTATTATTAAATACGCAGAGCTCTCTCCAAACAGATGCAAACATAACCCAACCATCTGGAAATCTCTATAGCAAGAACGACACTTTGGCCGTGATTTAAGTCGTCTGCCATTAAAGCACCAAACAAATCAGAACAAGAAGCAATTAAAAGTTATTCTTTCCTCTTATGGGTCTACGTGGCAGGACAGGCTGGTTATCAGTTAAGAGGTGGGGATGGGGCAGACAACCCACAATATGTCACACCAAATAATCACAAGTAGTTTAAGCAGAGAACAAGGCAGACCTTTAGAGGTGGAACATGCTGCAGTTCTCAACAGCTTTACTGACCTCATCCACAATGACACAGCTGAAAGGATCGAGTCCTTGCCGCCAAAAAGCAGATTCCAACAGACCTCCTCCACTTGTGCTCAGAGTGCAGCAGATGATGTCAGCCTCCAAGATGATATTCACCTGTACTTTCTGAGAGTGCCCTCGAACCTGCAATTACAACAGGACACCATGTCTCCTCTTCTCTCAGTTTTCTTGAACCACCTTAGAGCAATTTCTAACTGCCTGGACAATTCTAACTGCTAAAAAGATCGTGCGTAATGCATCATCCCAATGAAACTATCTCCATTATTACAAATGAAAGTCACAAGCTGGCTTTACTGAAGTGTCACTCTCACTTTAAATTACACCACCTTTGAGGTGGCAAACTGGAAATAAGTACTCCTTTATCTCTACAGCTATGCAATCTAGACACAGTAACTGTGAGCAAAGTTTAGCCTGCCATCATATTTGTGACTCCAAGCCTCCATGGCCATTAAGAGTCAGCATATATTTGTTAAAGATGATTCTTCATTCATCTCACAGTTCGTGCTACTCAGCCTTAATTACTGGTTTTTCTATCAGTGCCGATTTCCACTCTCAAACTTATCTCTTTCCACACACAAAATAATTCTTCCAGCTATTGGTTTACTTAGAAACATTTGAAAGTATCTCAGTCCCAGTAGGATTGTAAGGGGCATGAAAGTGGTGACGAAGATACATCCTAGAAACATACATGTCCTCAAGTTCTATTATCTTCTTTGCTAAATACACATTTAGTTTAAAATTAACTGTAAGAGTGAAATTAACTGTAAGAGTGCGTATTCTCATCCGGCTTTTTTTTGCAATACACAGCCAGAGTAGACCTGGATTTCACAACAGGCTGTCCGTAACTTACTCACCTTATGATCTTTATCTCCTTATCTACTACTTTACAAATGCTCCCAGCAACATCAAAAGCAAATCTCCACCACACTTAAAGGAAACCAAGTATGTAAATAGATTGGCTGAGGTTTATTAAACAGCTGCCCTGAAGATAAATTCCTACCTCCTTTAGTTGAGAAGCAAGCTGTTGTCTCTCCTTTGAAAGTCTGCCAATTTCATCATCCAACATTTGACTCTAGATGGGGGAGGAAGAGAAATCACATAAATACCAGGAATAACGAACACACAGCTCCCATATACCTTTTTTCCTCCCATACCCTAATTCATTTCCTAAACATTTAGATTTATTCAGATCGTCTGTTAATATCAAACATGTCTGAAAAAGCTGATCAGTTTTCTTAGAAAACGGCCAACATATTTAGACTTTCCATACCAATACTATACTTTACATTTCTGGGCAACTGGGAAAGCGGTTTACCATCAGAAATCTGTAACCTAAGCACAAATGCCAAATTTTTAGACCAAAAACAATGGAAAACTTCAAGTGTAACACATCTCAGACTCAGATAACATGGTATCTTGCCAATTCCACTTAAATAGCAAGCTTTGAAGTACACAAGTTAATTCGTTAAGTTTTATAAATATGGCTACAGAGGTGATAGAACCAAATAAGACTACTGAACACTAGGGCAAGAAGTAGCATGATTGACCTGCTGAAAATATCAGTATAAAAAGACAAAAAAAAATAATTCCTGATGTAAAGTTCCTCATTCCCTTTCACAGTGCTAACCAACACTTGCATTAGTTGAAAAAGCAGGTGGAGAGGCAGTTACTGCTCAGAGATGGCATTAAGAGTCCTTTACTCTTTGGATTCAGTTCTAAATTAAAAAAAAAAATAAAAAAAAAACACAGAAAAAACAGGATTAAAAATACTATTATCTTACTACCTCCCTCTTCTCACATCTGTGCATGGCACGCTGACGAGACAGCATGTCCAGCTGTTGATCCAGAGCTGCTTTTTTCTTCTGAATATCCTGGTCACAGTCAGCTGGCTTTCGCTCTATAATGAAACAATGGAAAACATACAGAAGGAATAGAAAACACTATGTTACAGTAACACTTGGTCTCAATCATGCATCTTAAGTTATTAAGAACAAATGGAAAAACTCATTTGTTGTTGCATTCTCCCTTTTTCTATTGAGCTCTTATCTTGTAAAACAAAGATAATGAGACTTGGTTTCAACTGTAGCTCTCAAATGCTGCATAGCCACGTTGCTTAAAAACGATGGCTTTAAAATGCATTTATAATTTCTTTAAAAAACAAACAAAGAGAAGTCGTCTTACTTATTTCTTTGGTTTTGCTTAGATTTTAGGCCACGTGTAAGATGACAATTTCCCACTAAGACTGAGAAAAACAGTGCTTAAGAAGCACTATTGCAGAAGAATCTTCTGCCTGATCTTCCTTCGTAAAGGACACGCAGTCCCAAGTGTAAAACATCATCAAGCTCTGAAAGACGACTGAAGAGAAGTCTGATTTGCATGTTACTTACTCATTCTATGTTCAACTTGCTTATCCAGGCTAAATCCCCGGACTTCACTGTTGATTGCTTTTTCTGCACCAAGACGCACTAATTTGATATCACCACAATTTCCTGTTTACAAAATCAGAGTCAAAATACTTTTAGATTGCTCTAATTATCTCTGCACTTTGGTATGAAAGAAAGAAAATAATTTAAACATCATGAATATCAAACAAGGCTTTTCCCTTTCTGCTTTTCAAGGGTTTGCAACAATTTATTTGTACTTATCTAAACACAGCTACAAAAAAATTCAGTAGCTCCAAGCTCAAAAAAAACCCAACGTTGCCTATGTTTTAGTGGTAGCTAACAGTTAAGAATGTTATTTTGAGTTAACAGAACCACCTCTTATTCTCAGGCTTCTTTATCTAAAAGTGACAGAATTCCAAAGTTAGAAAATTACTGAGTACCATCAGCAGCACAGCTGGTAAGTCAAAATCAAATTACCATTTGGTTACAATGCAAATTTTTTTTTTTTAACACCAACACAGACTAGATGCCTTGTTCAGAATTCGTCTACTTTGTATTACTCACAAACTAAGAGAAGGGGAAAAAAAAGAAAGTGAGAGGCTCTGACATGTCAAAATTTTCATCAGTCTGTTTAGCATGATCAGCAAAGTTCAATTTTATTCAAAATAAAGCTAATAGTCTTGTGTTTAAATCTTTGAGGAGTACTTAAAAACTGGTGAACTGAAACTAACGCTACGAGGACAGGGGCAATGTCTCTATAAAGACCAAGTGCTATTTATATAAAAAACCATAATACATCTTTTAGAAAAGCACATTAAATCTAATAACAGTATGAGGATTTACCAGTCATGTTCAGCAAGAGAAAAAAGCTGCTTAGAGAAGTATAAAAGCATTACATGTAATCAACTGTTCCAGTCTCTCTTTCAGGTTTTGTCCATTTAACATATAAACAGAATTTTAAAATAAACCATACCCAAAGGCTCCTGTTTGTTTTGGCATTTTTCCTTAAATGTAACGATGATCTTTTTCATGAGTTCATCAACAGCAGCATTTGATGGTGCACAAACTAGAAAACGGTTTGTCTTGATCTTGGGATTTGGTTTTTGAGTTGCTTTCTCATTCCTAGTGTTCTGTAGGTCAATTAACAATAAACCAAAACAGGCTCTTCAGATTGTTTTCATTTGTGATATATAAGTCAGACTGTACACTTGTCTCAATCAGCATGCAGAGTATGGGGACTATCACCCTTTAATATCTCTTCAGGTATGTCTTACATGGAGTAAGAAGTCAAATGTATTGATACTATTTGCATAAATTCCCTTCAACAATGATGTATTTGATGAACTTACTGGATGCTAATATGAAAACCATTAAATGGGACAGGCCAAATAACATTCCTTAATACATCAAAATATTAAGGGTTTTTTTTTATGTAACAAGTGTTTACACTACTGATTGTGCGTGTTTTCTTGATTTTACTTTTTCAGTTCTGTAAAACAAGGTTTTTCCAGGATGTCCAAAAGGTATTGATTCCACCTTCACATCCTATACTGTACGGAGTTAACTATGTCAGCTTAATGAATTACACCCCCAGTAATTACTACACTTCCATTTAGTTTAAGCTGCCACTGACTTCCACTGGGAAACTAAACAAGAGCACATGACAATCACATCACGTTCACTCACTTCTCTCAAAATACGAGACAGAAGCCCAACAATGGTTTTTGATTTCCCTGTTCCGGGTGGTCCGTGAATAAGGCAGATCTTGGGAAGCCCTGGATGTTGTTTTACCATGGCATAAGCTGTCTCAATGGCTCTCTTTTGATCTTCGTTGTATTCGTTCATATCCGACGCCTGAAGGAACAGACAGGGGAAAAAATTACGAATTACTTCATGTTGATCAAACCTTCCATGTTTGTTTTAGGTATTTTCACAATGTCCCCCACCCCTCTAGCTATGCCTCAAACACGCAGAAGGGCATGGAAGCTTTTCATTCTAGGTTTGCTCTAGATGCACACCCAATCCTGACTTGAAAGCTGTAATGAAGGTTTCGTTTACTCCACACACCTTTTGTATGCATTACCTTTTCCATATTATGCCTTATTTCCTGAACAGACACCTCTCCAGTAAGGGAAAAAAACAAATGAAGCTGCTTAAAGTGCATGACCAGTATCAGTGTCAATACAGCAGAAACACTTGACCAAGTTCAGACTTCTCTCTATCCACCCAATCAACCAACTTTAAAGTTTCAAAAGCACTTGAGGCACCGTGCTTTTGTCTGTTTGCACTTAGTCATCTCAAAAAACAGCACGCAAAACCAGTTCCGCAAAACTCATGAGATCCAAGTGCTCACTTTGTCATCCCTAACCATCACTTCCAGCCGCAGGACTTACAGCGCTTTCTGAAGCCACGGGCAAATCTCTGGGACAGAAGTCATTGTAACTCGGATTGATGATGGGTTTAGCCAGGGGACTCCTGCTCAACAGCAGTAGACCTTTGAATTTTCGGTGTGCTGTCACCAGGGAGCCAACCACCACACACTTCACTAGTGTATTTTTGAAGCCTGACAAATCGCCTCGGGTTTGCACAGAAAGGTAACAGACGGTATGCTGCTCCTTTTGTCCTATTAAAAGTTGGGGGAGGGAAAAAAAAAACCACAACAAAACCACAAGTTGTTAATTGAAAGAACAACCAAATTGTTAACTGAAAGATATTCAAACAGGTCACTCAAAGAATTCACGAAAACCAAGTGCTGCCTTCTAATAGTGAGCAAACAACTAATTCCTGAAAAAAACCCAACTCTCCCCGCTCCACCCAAAAGAAAAACCCCAAAACAAACAAGCAAAAAGAACCAGCGCTCTGTAAAACAACTCAGATAACTGTTTGAATCAGGCAGCATTAATCCTGATACTCTGCAATCCTGGTAATTCACAACTTCCGTTCCAGAAGACAGTGAAAATTTCCGTCAGTGAGACCACTGAAGTTTATGCCACTTCGTATCTCACAGCGACGCACTCCTGAAGATGTACACAGAGCACTTACTTACTCATCAGTAGTTTCTAGTCTTACACAAAGTATTAACATCCGTATTGAAGGAAGTCCCTAGTTAAAAAATGCATGGAAAGCAGGTCTGCAGCTTCAGTTCCTGGCTTCTACAAAGCTTCTAGCATGGAATCAACATGCTACAGTGGAAAATCAACTCCATTTTCTCTGAGGAAAGTGGTACATTACAACTACCAACAGCCAGCTATGAAGAAGTGTTTTACAGCACCGAGAAGAATCCCACTTTTATTTCAACCCCATTTACTTACTAGTCAAACAGCCAGACGCACGAGAAAAGCGTGTCACAAGACCAACTTCACTCAGTACATGGTTCTCCATCTCACTGTCTTCCCTAAAGGTGTCTTTTTTCTTTTGGACCTCCAAAAAGATTAAGTCATCCTCCTTTGGATGAAGCTGCCTTGCCAAATCACTCTCTTGAAAATGAGCTACACAAAATACATTTTAAAATTAGAACATTAAAAGGAAAATGATTACAGTTACTTTCTGACTACAGAAGTGCTACAATTAACATACTGCATATACTTCAGTTATACCTATCTGTTAATTTTTAAAGCTATTAAAGTTTTAACTCCATCCTGCATTCTTAAGCCTCAACATAGCACTGTATAAAAATACAGCGAGTCAAGGATTATTTTATTTACTGGAAGAAGCTGAAACAAAATCCCAAATGAGTGAGATTGCTGTTGGAATACTTTCCATCAAGTAACTTTTTATACTGAACATTTAATGCACAAATTCCTGCAAAATACAAATTTCTGTTACGTGCATTCTGTAAAACAGTAAATTCAAGATCCTTTCTGTATTTAAAGCAAATAATTAAAAAAAAAAATCCATCTGTAAGCACTAGCTCATTGTAAGGCATTACTTGAAAATTCGGAGGGTTTTATAGAAAACCAAAACTCTTACCTGTAAAATCCGCTGTATCCAACTCAGCACTGAAGTTCTGTAAGAAGAAGTAGCAACTCTTCTCTCTTACTCTCTGGTTTTCTGTCCACTCTTGTGCCAGCTATATGTTGGAAAATAAAAGCTAAATAAAAGGACTTTGAAGGGTTTAGTGTATTAGCAGAACACTTATCATGACTCAAAGGGCAAACATACTAGGCAGAAATAAAAGAAAGCTAACAACCTGTCAAGTACAAGACAAAGAGTCTTCCTCCTTTCGTTTTTTAATATATGCATTCCATATAAACACCCACAGGGCAAACAAAAGCACTTCCTCCAGACCCACCCTGCATTTAAAGCTCTACAAAACAAACGTGGGTCCCCCCACCTTGCATTTTCACCTTCAAACACCGGTATTATCGCTATCAACTTCATCTCCTACCTTACTGCTGCAGGAGAAGTGATGCAATGACTGAACTTGGAAGCATAGAGACTTTAATTGAAGGAATATTGTGTTTTCTCACCATTAATTTATAAAAATTAAGCTGTTTGGAAAAAAGTACCTCTCAGATTAACCTACCCTCTCACATAAGTTCTCAACATAAATCAAAGCATTACGCTCTTCTCTGTTTACAGACACTGTCACTGAAAGACTTCCATTCCCTAAATAAAGATTTCTGGTTTCAGCTTTATATGCTGTAAAGAAAGAGAAACCACCTCCTTTTTCCCTCCTTTTGCATGCTACTGTGGATGCACACCCAAAAAAAAAGCTTCACTGAGGTGATTAACACTGACAGTCCCCAGTCTTTAACATAACTGTCTGGATTATTTCCCCCAAAACACAGATCTGTACCTTCATATTTTCACAACATTTTCAGAAGGTAAATAGAGGACATAAACCAGTTTTAAATCTCTTTGCAAAATTTACTAGGGTTGATGAAAACAAACCAAGAGGCAGATAACTACTTACTGTTTCAAAGGCATTTAGCATCATCAAGGGGAAAAACGTATTGAAATAGTCATTGTATCCCTGAAACTGGACAGGAACAGAGGCTACTACGGACCGCAGGAGACTACTTGGAGGTCCAAACTGGCTGAAGTTTACAAACATTGCGTGAGTCCACTTTAGGACTTCATTAACAAAAATATTATGATCACGCTGCTGAGCACCAAGAAAGGAAGAACAATATCCTTCTCGGCCAGGCCTTCTGGAAACATTTGAAGCATTGTCGTTCTGTCGACTTGATGACTGGAGAATATTATTAGAAGTACGAGGTTGAGGCACATTACTGAAACTTGGAGACTTGCACGTTTGATTTCCTGTTGGAACAGCCTTTACATTCGCTGACCTGACCACCGCTGGTTTCGCTGCGTTCACTTTGCTTTTGGAAGCTGGCGGTGGCTTTTTAACATCTTCAAGATCCTTGCTGAAGGCTGCATTCCGTGAAGAACTTGCTGAGCTGAAAATTTTGGTAGTGGCAGGCTTTCTTGTTTTAGAAGGTGGCAGGAGAGAAGGTCTGGCAAACAAGTGATCTGCTTCCGAGCTGGTGGCTGAATGCTTACTACAGTACTCTCCTGGTTTTTCCACTTTTTCCATGCAGTCTTTGTACTTACATTTCTCTTTAGTCGAGGATTCGTTCTGCTGAAGGCTTTCAGCAGTATCCATTTCCTCCAGTGTTTTACTAGCTGAAGTAGCGTCTTGTACACTTTCCTCCTGGGAACATAATTCCATATCCACAGGGTCCAACTGAGTTAAAAATAAATCATCATCGTCACTGTTTTCATTTGATGTACACCCATTTTCTTTTGAAGTTGTCTTCTCACACTCGGGCTGGACAATGCAACCTTCTCCTGAAGGTTCATCTTTATCATCTCCAACAATTGCAGCAGAAGAGAGATCTGAATCCATAGGTACAGGAGGAACCATCATGCTGTTATCTGATTTTCCGTTCGAGTCTGAAGAATGAGGCATTTTAGAGACACGTGTCGTCTCCTCCACAGAGAGGCTTTCAAATTTTCTCTCATTGGCAGAGGGACAGTCAGTCTCCTCCCTTTTTTTCTCTCTCTGGTTTTCAACAGATGCTAGTTCAAAAGTTTTAGGCTTTTGTTTCATAGATTTTGCATCCACTTTGCTAACTTTTTTGTTTCTGCTATCAGAACTTCCTGCACGATTGTTCCCTCTGACACTTTTTTTGGGCCTTGTCTGCCTTAAAAATTGAAGGTCTTGGCAGGCTAGCAGTTTTCTATTATTTTTTATAGACAAAATCTGAGGAGCAATTAGTTTAGTCTTCTGTGCAAGTGCAACTCCAACTCTTCCTGCAGCTTTACCATGGCTGCGCAATCGAGCGACACTCTCTAAGGAGCGCTGGGATAACTCAAACGCTTTGCGAGGTGCCTTCTTCAGACCAAGTTCCTCTACAGTTGATGCTGGTGCAGGACACTGCCGAACTTTCCTTGGAGGAACTACAGCAGGCAATGATCTGCCAGGTTGATAATTTTTTGATGTACTTGGAAGTGTTTTTTTATTTTGTGCTGTTTTAAGAACAGAAGGTTTTTTAGGACTTTTTTGAATAGTTCTTGCTACCTTAGATTTTGCTATACTCTTCCGTGGGCTCATGCTATTTTTCTTAAGGGCCAATTTTGAAGCTAACGAGATGTTCGATGTAGATGCTTGGGGTTTAGTCAATTCTGAGTCCAGTGTGAAGTTTTTAGCAACAGCACCTTTGTCTGCAAATTTCTCCAGTTGATCTTCTGCATCTCCCTTACTAACAGATTCTTGCAATGTCGAATTAGTTACTTCTTTTGTATTATCACCTTCTTTCTGACCAGAAATATCTTCTATCTGCTCTTCTATCAAGTTTGCTGCGTCTTCTTCCATGGTATCATAACTTATGTAATCCACCTCATAACCCCATTCATTTGTGTCATCGTGCAGTAAGCCATCTGAATTACTACTGTGAACCGATGTTGAAACATGATCTTGTTTATACTCTTGAGTTGCTTCCGTACTATATTCTTGAGTATCTTGCCAAACTGAAAAGATATCCTCTTCTGTTTCAAACTCAAAGTACTGAGACTCACAGTCTTCCAGTGAGAAGGGAGAGCTTGGCGTCTTTGATTCCATTTTGATATCATTATCAGAAATGCCGCTGGACGTTGAAGGCTGCTCTTCAGGACATACATTTTCATTCTTTTTTTTTGTTTCCTCCTCGTCAGCCACACCTTTTTCTTCATCAGAGTCATCTGAAATTACAATGACTTCATTGGGAGGGCAATCAGCATCACAAGGAGACTTGGTACTTTGGCCATCAGAAGATCTTACAGCACCTTTCACTTTCCTTTTAATATCACATACATTATGATGTACCGAGCTTTCTTGGCTTGAATCGAAGGGAAAATTGACACTTTTGGCATACGCAGCTAACGATAACTTACTGAGATCTCTATCAACCTGAGAGTCTGTTAAAGTCTTATCTTCAGAAACCATCTTCACAAAACCCTCCTCTTTCTTCCCCTCTGAACTGTTTTCTCTCTTGAAATATTCTGAAAATTTAAGCAACCTGTCACTTGATTCACACTTCATTGACAATGGCCTGATCTGAGGCGCAGGGATGGATATATCCCTCTTGTTTTCAGAGCTAGACGGAACACAATCGTTTGCTGAAGTTTTATCCATACAAAGTGTCTTTGAAATTTGACCTTTACGGTCATATTTAACCAAGTCATTTAAATTAGGCTGTACCCAGTCTGAAGTTTGCATGTCAGTGTCTGTCTTTAACACAGACGTCAACAATGTACTTGATTTTTCTTCAGTGGATACTTTCTTCAGCAAGATGTCACTAATCCCTGAAAGCAAAATACTGTCATCTTCTTTTTCCTGCATACCAGGTTCATTTTTAGAGGAGCTAGAGCAATCTAGTGGTGTTTCTTTTGATACTTGTTCAGTGAGGACCAGTCTGGATTGAAAAGCACTGGTGACACTTTCACAACTCCTTGGAGTATCAACAGAGGTTTCGTTTTCACTCGCAATATTCACTCCCTGATGTTTATGACAATCTTTACTCGTACACAAATCGTCAGTGCAAAACTTGGATTCCTCTACCTCTGCCTTTGAAGCACTTGTTGCTAAACTGCAGTTTTTCAAGTCACGTGCCTTCGCTGACCGCAATACTTCCGAGGGCTGTTCAGTTTTCTCTAACTTGTTTTTCAAATTCATGACTCTATGCACATCTATTTTAAACCGTGAAGAGGAACGGGCAGATACATTGCTTTCCTTCACATCTGAACCGTAAATATGTTTTGGAGAACCAGAAGAAGTTTGAGCAGCCAGATGCGTTAGTGTTACGAGTCCTGCTTCACATTTGTTTTCCAACTCTCCGCCTCTTCTGAAATCTGACCGCTGGGCACTTGGACTAAAGCACTGATTATCCGTATCGCATTTCCCTGCCACAAGATTATTATTCCTATTTTCCTGAACTTTCCCACATACTTTTGTTGCCAAAGCATTCTCCGTTGTGAAGTCATCACATTCCTTTTTAATATTCATCAAGAGGCCTTCTGCGGATGTCCAAGATCTTGAACTTTTAGATGCATCTCCACATTCCTCTTCCCAGGCACTCTTTCTTCTAGGGAAATGGTTCTCTTGACGACCTTCACCTCTTTCTTCCTTTGACATGACAGCAAATGGTGAACAAAGGTCATCTCCGCCCTGTACGCTCACGCTACATCCATAGCCAGCTGCACTCTTCTCTTGCTTTATAGAGATAGTAGGCGAAGTTGTAGAGTTTGCATTGTTTCCTACAGGCAGAGGGGTTTTCAATGCTCTGTCCTTCATACTTCTTATAACTTGCTTTAAACACATTTGTAATTCCTGGGTTTCCTGGATGTTCAGCTGCCAACCTAAAGATAGATTTCCTCGCATAAGAAGATTGAGTTTGTCTAGGTATTGCTTGCAAAGAGCATGCTGCCCAATTTGATAGCCTTCTCTGAGAAGGCTGCGTATCAACTGCACACAGGCGTGCTGCACAGATTTAGAAGCTTGTAAAGATACTCCTGGTGAACCTTTCACACAGTGTCCAGGTGCTTTTTCAGTGCACCGTGTAAATGCTATAGCTGGAAGCTTAGCACATCTCACCACTGCTTCCACCCATTCTCGGGAGCTAATCCATAGCAAATGCAGGCACTTCTTATTTCTGTGTAGTTCGATAATAGACACCAAGATCAGGAGAAAAAATTCAGAGATTTTATCACACTGCTGGACTCTTTCATTGATAATATCTTTGATTTCCGAGCAGAGGTAGTGAATGACCTCTACTATATATGCTATACCCAAGTCTTTGAGATCCATAAGCGACTGAACGAAAGGGATGAACCACAGAAACGTGCTCTGATGGACACGCGTATCTCCGCCGATAGCAGACTGGAGCACATTAGCCAGTGTTTGCATTTCTTCATACATGTTGGGGCAGTAGTCTGGACATATGGCAGTCTTCCATCCAGTATCCTGAAAAAACAAATTCACCACGTATCATCCTCATCACGCACATCTGCACAGTTCAATTTGCCAGGTTCTTTCTAGCCATGAAGGTTACTTTCTCTCAAATATATGTCCGTTAAATGGTAACTCCTCTTATATCCTACATCAAAATCTAAACTCAAAAAATGCAAAAACTAATTATCAAACTAATACACAAAGACATTTCCTAAAACGTAACCTACGAAATAAGTGTAAAAGAGTTATTTCCTTTAAAAATCATTGTGAAAGTCTCCAAAGATGTTGTTATGCTGACATAATTTAACCTCAGATAATCAAATATACATTTAAAGCCTTTAAAAAGACATTTCATAAACACAGCATACCAACATCAAGAGAAGAACATACTCAAAAATGTTTCTTCTGTTTTATGACAAGAAAAAATGGTACTATTTTAGAGCATGGTCTAACATTTGAAAGTACATCAAAGCATATCTCATTACTCTGTACTCAATATATTAGTTTAAATACTGAGAAACAAAAACTAAAACACAAGAACTCAAAACAGCAACTTTTTTTTAAAAAAACAAATTCAGAGTTTTCATTGATGTACCAATGTTTGTTTCAATCCTGATACAAATTCTTGGGGCTTAATACCATCTCTGCCTCGGTCACAAACACATTCTTCTTTCCTCTTACAGCCCAAAAGTACCAGGGTAAACCAGAAGTGACCAGACTGGTTGCTATTTAAGGCACAGAGTAGTGACATATATTAGTTAATATTTTTTCTTTACAACATTACTAGCAGAAACAGTATCTTTCCCTCTGTATTTTATGGATAGTTTAAACTGACAGTGCCATTCAGCAATCAGAGTTCAAAGAACAAGGAAATAAAACTTTTTTTAATACCTTCTGAGGCTTTTCTGTGTTACAATTATACACAATCTGACTGCAAGTAGCCATGTCATCATTATAGTCTGACTCTGGTTCAGATTTTGTCCTAAAAAGAAAAACAAATAATTATAGACTCCACACAACTAACTTAAACTACAAGAAAGCCAACTGGCCAAGACACAGATTTCACTTTTCAGATACTGACCATGTGACTATTAGAACTTGTCAGTGACAAAACATACCTATGAAAAGATATATTTAAAATTGTAGAGCTTGTTCTATCCTGCTCATAAGAGGCAGAGGAAGCAACTGTGCCAGGAAAAAGAGCTTTCTACTAAGTCATGGATTTGACTACCTAGAACAAACACCCAGCAGAATTCCATTTCCTTTGAATTTTCTATGCATAAATGCAGCTCAGTTGTGGCTACATACTCATAAACTTTGTACACGACTATACGAACACAAGACTCAAATAGCTTGTTTAGATGAAGAAAATCTCCTTTAATACACCTTCCTCGGCCATCTATAACATTCCATATATATGTATCTATAACATTATAGATTGTGCACGTATAAAAATAGTGAACATTTAAGACATTGTCACTCAAAGTTGCTTAAAAATGTATCACAGGAAAACAGAAAACAACTGGTGTGGTTATCGAGGTACTATTTTCCACCAACTTTTTTCAACTAGACATAGTTTCAGTTTTCCAAAATAGATCTGGATCTTATAAAAATCCTTAAGAGGAACAGCATGCCGCAAGATGGAGTTCAAGCTTACGGGACAAAATTCTGCTCCCATAGAAGCTATTTCTAGACTGCCTAGCAGTGTACTAACCAACTTCTGCACTGAACAAGCACTCTACCTAATTAATTTTCTGTTCAATACTGACAATATTGTCACTCGGAAGTGATCCAAAACATCCATTTTATCTTAGGATGTTAAGTATATGAAGATAAAGCCTTTTAAAACAGTATCTGATGCCTGCTGTGTGTTTGAAAGTATTTCCTGTCAGCAGTTCACTATGTTATGGAAGTCATTAAAGGAGAGCTCCATGATTCTCACTTGATTACCTTCCCTGAAGGGAATACATTCAGAAAAGGAATAAAACTTTTAAGACCATACAATATCATGAAGCAAATCTAATCTTGAGAAATATTTAAGACTTAACATGAGCTGAAAGCAAACTCAAATCAGTTGTCATCTGGAACTACACTAAAATCTAAAACTATGTCATTCACTGAAGACTCTGGAATTCCCATAATTTTTACCAAGAGTCTGAGACACCGCAATCTTCATTAAACTTAAGTGCAAGTCAGTTATAGTGCTAAATAAGCACTAAACAGTTAGCCACCTTCTTGATTTGGGAGAAAATCCTGAAAAGTCTAACAGACATCACAGTCGTCAAAAAGAAGTGAGCAAGTATTTTTTGGAAGAACTTCAAAATTTTAGCGAACCTAGTTCAACTTTTCTTTGCTTGAAGTTAGCAACATCCAATTTTTTTCCTTGTCATCTCCCTCCCCCAACCCAAATTAAGGCAGCACTGACAAGAAAACCAAGACCAAGCTACTACGCTACCTGGTATGAAAATCATAGAACTGTTCTAGTCTCGTAATAAAACTGACCTCTTAAAGCTACTGCGAATATTGTTTATTTCATTGTTGTAGCTCACATTGTTGATAATGGTTTGAAAGGCTTGGACAGGATCAATAAGCTGACCCCACACTTTAGATCCGAGCTGCTCCAAAATAATCATGAAACAATGCAGCGCTGGCCAGAAAGGGTCAGTAGATTCATCTGAAACATAACAGTAATATTGGGGAGAGATGAAATGCAAGAGTCCTGTACATTCTTACACCAAGCTGAAGTTGAAAGTACTTGGTTTTCATTGATTTTTCTTAAATACTAATACAAAGATAAGTATTCTAGTAAGTTGCATCTACACCTTTTAACCCGAAAAAAGAAAAAGGATTAAAAAAAGTCAACCTCACTCATCTATACAGACAGACACTGCTCCTTATGCAGTCTTAAATCAACAGGAACTTCGATAACCATTATTAACATTTCCCAGCACTGTGAAACTGATTCTTCCACGCTGATTTTTGCAGTGCTGTTCTAAGGACCGGGTACAACTTACACAGCTATGACAATTTATACTTGTATTTAAGCTAGGAGTAATCAGTTTTCCTTCAAGTGTTCTTCCTTCTTCATGTAAGATAATATCATGTCCTCAGTAAACATAATAAGCTTACAGAGTTCTAGTCGTTTAAGAGGCAGCCTTGGTCTTGACCTCATATGCCATTCCCGGGCTATGCCATAGCATGTGGCCTAGAAGAACAGCCCAAAGGCTACTACTAGTCTGAAGTCTGAACTCCCAACCGCAAAAGGGGTTCCCTCAAACAGATGGACAGAAGAGTCAAATTTTAAGCAAGTTGTGGCAATTCAGAAGGTGGTGTTTGTTTATTTTAGGACTCAGAATCCAAACTTCAGGCCACAGAGAAATGCACGTTCCCATATGCCCTGTACATTAAATGAAAACAATACGGTAGAAACTACAGATTTGTCCTCTCTAAACCAGCCTTTTGCAAAGCACTGCTATCCCTTCTCCACTTAACAGTTTGTTTGAATGTCATTTTTCAGTATTGGCCAGTATTGCCCTAGTATTGTGCCATACTGGCCACCTTCCGCAAGATAAATAAGCCTCAGTTAAAATCACCCCAGCATTACACTCCTATGAATTTACTCAATTAAACAAGGAAGTTTGACAAAGATGAAAAATAGGCTACGAACTGTCTTAGTCTCAGTATCAAAATTAGTTACCAACTGCTTCTTTCTCCATGGTGTGAAGTATAGACTGCATGAAATCATTTTGTTTGTCTAGGCCCAGTAACAAGGAGTCCATAGCTTGTTCTTCCAGTACCGTTAGCAACATACAAATCCCTACAAAAAAAAAAAGCAGCAATTTGCCTGTGTATTTGCAAAAATTTGTTCTAGTTTTCACCAAGTCCAAGGATTATTTTCCAAATGCCATTACCAGTGTAACACTTGACCAAAGAGCTCGACAGCAACATGAAACTCATTAAACACTATCCCACTACTGCAGCTGCTCAATGTTCCATTTTCCCATTGACATGCCCCAAAATAAACAGCACCTATGAAAGAGTAGTGCTGTGACCTGAAAGAAGTGCTTACAAGATAAGAGAGACTACACATACAAATTCATTTCTGACCATAAATACTCACCTAGCCAATAGTTCTTGTAGTTGGTAGTATCATATAAATGAGATGGCAGAAGGATGAGTTTACCCTTTTCAATCATTGAAGAGCTGTAAATATCTGGACTCTCAAAAAGCCCCAACTCAATAACTTTGAACAAGCAAGTTAGCACTTCCTGTAAGTCATAGTAATCATCCCTGTCAACCTTCCCTAAATTCCTTGCTGTTAGGATGGCCCATCGACGAATCTAAGGATTGAAGCAAAACAGTTATATATTAACAAAAAGAACAAGTAAAATCACCATGCTGTAAGATTAGGAGTATTCCATTGATACTACAAATGGGACAAAAGTATATTTTTACTAAAGTAAGGTCTCATAATTGCAAGTTAAGAGTCTTTTTCCAAAATAAACTTACAAAATAGATTTACTATACCTAGGAGATGTTGGCAATAAAGAAGTTCAATCTCAGGGTAATATATACAAATAGAACTCTTTGGCATTCATGTGAAAAAGGGACAGCGTTTGGTTTTGTACTTGCTTGATATTGTTTAAACATTATTGACCAATATTTACCACTTGTATCCTATAGCTAAGTTGTGCTGTCAGCACAGGACACTTGTCCCTTCTTGCCTTGGTGGAATCATTCTCTGACCTGAGAAAACTTTAGAGTTTCAGCAAGTGTGAAGCACAATGCTATTAAACCTTCTACTGTTTCTTAGGACGTCTTGAAATTGTCCTCCACATTAGTGTTTAAGTAAGCCAGTCTTAGAAACGGTACAGCCACAACCTGCCCACCAGTCACAGCAAATGTAACCTGACTCTCCAAAGCTGCATCAAATGAAGTGGGGAAAATGATGGAACAAACTCGTGCTCTCTTGATACAAACAAAAAGCCCACTAGAGTTACAAGTCAATACTCTTTTGACAGTTACACATCCAAATTCACTTTACACAGATAAACATATCACACAGGGACTTTTCTAATATCATGTAAAGAAAACATGCCATCTCCCTTCAGTGTTAACGTGGTGCATGAAACCAGGATTCACTGTTCGAACAGGCTCTCCCAGTTGTAGCAGGGTGTATGTTCCCAAGTTCTCTGTGTTATCACTACTTTTCAGTACTCTTCCCTATTACTGATTCCAGTTTCACTTCTAGGATGTCTATGTGTAGTCTGAAGGAACAGCCTTCTTGCAGGATAATGCATCATCTTCAAAACAACGTAGAAAAGTAAGCACTCAGACACATCTGTACTGCTTTGAGAACCCTGGGTCTTTTTTGTAATCACTCAAATCCTTTTGACCGTAAAAAATAAAATAGAAGTGCTGGTAACAACTGCAATTGCAAAGTTTCTCAACTCTTCCTACCTAGACACTTTCAGTATTCCAAAATTTCTCTTGTTACTTTAAGAGACTGGATTCAAAAGGAGAACCTAAAGACCAGCTAACACTTCTAAATATCATAAAGAATGGAGCTCTCACATTTACACTTTCAGATGAACTTTTGATCTCTGACTGTTCAATATTAAAATATCTGTATGGATTCAGACACAGACCCAGGAAAAAAGAGTCTGCAGAGTTTTGAGTTGTCCCACCACAGAACACACAAATCCATTAAAACACAGTATCGCTTCCTTCCAATGACAAAATTCAGTGACAATTAAAGGGTATTTCTGAGGAAGTACACTGCTGAGCATGCTCCTTCCAAGTAACTACACTATTCTCACTTTTTCAACTGTTAAGTTTCTGAATATTATGAAAATGTGAAAGCTTCTAGGGATGGAGAAAGAACATGGAAGGAAAAGGTGATGAATACACTAAACTACAATCCCTTGCCCATTTAAGAAGAATTCCACTTGGGAGTATAGGAGTATATAAATTTACAGTTTGGTTGAACATCTGCAATTTCTGCTGACCAAATGCAAACTGTAAAGTGACTCTAGAAGCTATTGCAAAAGAAGAGTCTTCTCTCCTTCAGCAAGAATAACCATATGCCTACTGAAATCTCATTTTTATATATGCTGTTAAAGGAAAAAAGAAAACAAAACAGAAAATCAAGCACTTAGAATTCTGAATGTTACCATTTTCACATTCTTGTCATTAAAAGTAAGTTTTAAATAGCATCCGAACAGATCCTAAGCTTTAGTGGAACAGAAAAAGTAACTTACCACTTCATTCGGGTGTACCAGAAAGAGATAAATTCCTGGATATTTCTCAAAGACGTGAAAGGAGCTGTGACTTTGTTCCATTTTACAGAGCACCTCTACACACAGCTCACCTAAAAGGACAAACACGGTTGTAGTGAGGACCACTTCATATGCTCGTGAAATAAAAAAAAAATTAGTGTCAAAATTAATATAATACATATATATGCACACACGTAGAGGAACTTTGGGGTTTAACTACTATTCGTTACTTGCAGCTCCTTCAGTAGAAACAATATCATTCCCTTCCAACTGTAGAGTGTAAGCTACATACTGAGTTTCTCGTGCAGCAGCAGATATGGGTATTTCAGTATTTCCAGAAGGGGTACTCGCAGGTTATTCTCAAAATCCGGGCCCACATAACCAGACAGCTGTGTCTCTCCATTCTCATCCACTATAAACAACTCGTCATCCTCTCCAGCTTCTTCTCGCATGGATTTCTCAATGTGGGCAACAAGACGGGAGGTTTCCAACTCCCACAAGACCTGTTCAGTGGGGAGAAACAACAAATCAAAGAGCATTTGTGAAGAAAGTGATTAAGGACATTTATTATCACATGCAGAAACCTTAACTAGACTTTCAAAAATTACAATTTCATTTTGAAAAGTTTCTTTCCAAGTGTGAAACAATAAAGTTTTGATCCGGCATTCAGACTGTGCAAACCACAAAACCCTCACTTCAGAGTTAAGATTATAAAGTAATATTTTAAAAAGCGGTATTCCAACCAGAAGCATTTTTGTAATTCTGTTAAATATTCGTAAACCTTTTCTATAATTATTTCAGGCCATAGGTTAGTCACAAAACTTCATTCCACTGGCCAATATAAAGAAGTGCACGGTACAGAAAACGATCATATTAAGGAAGATGGGAAAAGTAATTCTTAAATCTTGCCTTCTCCCTTATTTTGCAATGTATTAGTGGAAAGGAGTGAACGTAAACACACTGATTGCCTCGCTGAGTATCTGCAGGGGATTCAGCTCACTTAACATTACTCATCTAAAGTAACTGCTCCAAACCTCAATTAGAAACCAAGGTTATTTCCTACAGTTAATAAGCACAGAAAGGAACTTTCAGCAGTCCCATCACTCCGCTAATTTCCAATCTATACTCACATGGGATTATCCTCCAGAGAAATCTGACTAATTTAAAGAGCAACCTTTTAGATATCTGTATTATGATCGATTAGCTACAAATACTCATTTACATACACACATAAGAGAAAATAAGCTTTCCAAAACGCAAAATCGGATACTGATAATTATAAAAGGCTTATAATAAAGAGTTTTAAAACTTTTCTGATTGTTTTTAATTACACAGTCTCATATGCTTGTGTAGGAAAATAACTGAAATTGGGGGGGGAACGGGAGAATACTGCCCCGCAAAGTTCAGCTTGTATCTCAACATAAGCTGTAATATCAGAGCAGCTCTGAGATGAGACACAGTTGCTGCTCCCGGGAACAGAACGCACTTGGAACAAACAAGGCCTGCGCAATACCCTTGGAATGGGGAGTAGAGTGGTACAGAGGTACCACGGCTCGTCCCTGTTATCAGGGATAAAGAGTGCCTGGTGAAGATAACCACACAGCTGCCATCAAGAAAGATGGATCGCAACTGCTGCCCCAGCAGTGATGGTGAAATCGTGTCCTGAAGCTGACCCACCTCCGGGCTGTGACCACCCCTTGCTGAGCGTGCGCTCTGAAATTCGTTTAACCTGTATCTTTAAATCGAAGCGAGGAAAATTTACACCAATCCTAACAGAGGTATGTATGACTAGAGTCACTCAAGCTCCACCTGAAGGTAAAGAAATAGTAAAAAACGGCAAAAGAGAAGGGGATGTCAGGGAGAAGCCCTCCATCAAAACATCTGGGATCAGTCGACCAGCTGGACCTCTCTTCTCCCCCCACAGGGACGCCTACTGGGTGACAGCTCTGTGTTATGAGCATTTACTTACTAACATCTTGCAGCTATTGAGTATTATCACTGATCAGTTCTGGTTTTATATTATTCCAAATCAAATCTGTTTTGCAGTCAGTCCCTATCACCGGCTGTCTTCGACTCTGTATTCCGTCACGAACATATGTAATAAAATTATATATATAAGTTTCCAGAACCTTCATAATCAATACATGGAATTTGGCCCATCATACTGCTGGTGGGGTCCCTGAATAGATTAGGCGAACACCCTCCGATTCCGTGGGCTGCCCAGAAGGAGGGCAGGGAGAGTCAGGCACAAGGGTCTGGTCTTTCTTGGGAAACTGGTATACTGGTCAAATTACCTCCTGACCTCTGTTGGTGCTGGGTCCCTAGGTAGGTTAGACAAACACCCTCCGATTCCGTGGGCTGCCCAGAAGGAGGGCAGGGAGAGTCAGGCACAAGGGTCTGGTCTTTCTTGGGAAACTGGTATACTGGTCAAATTACCTCCTGACCTCTGTTGGTCTGACCTTGTGCCATAACGTGACAGCTTGCAAGATCAGATCTCTGAAATTCAAGCACAGTAGAAAACTATGAATGAGAAATGAAAGCAAACAAAAAGCAAACCGAAAGCTGAACAGAAGTCAGAGGAAGGAAGAATACACATGAAAAAGAAATAGAGCTGTTCAGTTTTTTGGCAGGTGTTCTTTTTTTCAGACGTCAAATCATTACAGCATGAAAAAAGTTCAAGCTCTAATGTCTAGTTACCAACTTCCCACTACTGTTTTAGTTCTTGCTAGTTTGAATATATGCAAAACAAGAGCGTCTCCCTGTTTTACAATCAGCTCTTTGCAACTCAATATAAAAAAAGAGACAGTTAAAAAGCAATGTACCCTATTTCCCAAAACCACTAAATCACAACCTCTGCACAAAACTCCCCCCTACACTGAGGCTGGACCAGAGAAACCTCTTCTGAAGTTTTCTTCCAATTCCGAGTCCTCTGCTCAGTAATGGGCAGGAACCAGATCTCTTAATTACCTCATGCAACTTCGGCAGTTTTTCCCTTGCTTTGTGGTATTCAACCACACACTCCAGGCAGTAGCAGAGATCATCGCTGGATCCTTCAAGATCTTCCGGGGACAACCATTTAGAAGCATAGCTCTTCAGGAACTCGGTGGTGTCAGAACCACTCAGCGTACACCATCGACATGTGCTCATTCTTCGGATGGAAAGGAGAAGGAATTAACAGAAGTCCAAAGACTGAAAGTGACAAGGGATTTCCTTTCAGCCACAACAGTACCTAATGAATTTCAAGTGTGGTGAGTTTCAGGATTTACGTAACTCATTAGCAGTCTACATGCACATGTTCCTGGTTGTTCTTACATCATACAGGCGTGTGCAATTAAACAAAGAAATACAGATTAAAGCATTAAATGAATGTTACAGAAAAACATCTGCTCAATGGCAAATAGTAAAAGCAAAGCACCAAACAGAAATCAAATGACGTAATTAGCAAACTGCACGACATGAAAATTCACTTTACACAGAAAAAACCCTCATCCACACTTAACGCGTGCTTTCCAGAACTACAATGCCAAAGTTCATTACGTTGTTTAACTGGTATCTGTGGAAACTAGGTCTAATGAGTACAAATTTAATTAGCTTTTTTTCGTAATCTCCTGCTAAAATTTATGGGTCAACAAATCCCTGTTGTCAAAAGCAAAGGATATTTATGCAGAACTTCTTCACTATTATTACAGTTAGCATCACAAAATCCTCACCACAGCTTGCTTCCCCTAAAACCAGAAGTTCTTCACTAAGCAGCAATACAGTCACCTCAGATCCTGCTGGTCTGAAAAACTCCACACTGGAAAAGCATGAACATTTGAACTAACGATATAAAAAGGAACAATGGCAATTGCTTCTGTTATTTGGCACAACAAGGAAAGCGAAAGGGGAATCTAGATAACGCAAAACCATGCATTTCCTCATATGTACATACCGAGAAAAAAATAACTGCAGTGTTTACCTTTGGAAAAGGAAGCTCCTTGCTGTGCAGGCGTGCCAGGTCACATAGTGCAGAAGGGAGCAGCGCTGCCCTGCAGCTAGGGCAGGGGGCCGAGACCTTCACCCATGCTTGCCCTCGAGTGCAGCACAGCGAAGCGGTGTCGTCAGAAATCCATACTCTGGGAGCCGAGCCTTGATGGCACTCCGAAGGGCTGGAGCAAAACAGTAACCCCCAGAAATCGCTTCAGTTCGCACGTTACGACTGAGAATTGCTCCGGTTTAGATTAACGCGCTCCACATCGAACCCACGCTCGCTGAGCGCCAAGTTCGCTTTGCAGCCGAACCCCCTCTGCCGCTCGAACACGAGC